AGAGAAATATAAGTAGCAGGACATGTTCTACACATATGAAAGTAAACTCAAAGCAAATCACACTTTAAAATTACAAGTAACCAAATTAATAATGTGTTACCATCATACATTAAACACAAACTAGATGGAAAAAATCATCCACCCATTTTACAGTCACATACACTGTGCTTTTTCATTCTGACTATCTCATAGGAAATTATTAACTCCATTATTATGAACATATTGCAGCCTTTTGCACATGCTCCAGCAAATAGCCATTAGCATTATGATGCAAAGGTGATTGCATAGCATATATTTTATATCTCTCAGCCTTTATTCACTGAACATTTCAATGTATCTGGTTTATTTGTAAAATTACTGTCTCCTGTGTTTAAGATCTGGCTCAGGCATGCTTTACAGAACACCTATGACTTCACACTAAACTCAGCATACTACTATAACCCCTCTTGTTACAGATAAAAACATAATTCACTGTTGACTCTAACACAAACTGGATCATTATGTTTAGAGAGTGTTCCAAAGCCTGCTATCCAAGCAATCTGTGGCATATAAATAATGCAAGACCTCTTCTTTCTCCAAATTACTTCAGTTCAAGCAGAGACTCAGAAAGATGGAAGCCCAAATTTATACTGCCATTACAAAATTCAATCTATTTCTGGTTCTCCAATTGAATTATGACTCAGAGGCTTCCACTATTTTCTGCACCAACCCACATGCTCCCAGTCTTTGCCAACCCATGCAGAAAAGAATCCTATTTGTGAATATTCCTGAGCTTTATTATTAGTATATTATTTGGCAGCAAATCCCAACTAATCTGAAAAGCTTCATGTTTTCTTTTAAAGGAAAGTAAGGTAGAAAATGGATCTTATTCCCCCTCCCCCCTGACCTCTGAACCACAACCTCCTTGCCACTAAAGCGTTCAACACCTCATTTAATCTCTCCTCGCTGCATTGGCACAGCGCTGCAAAAGGAAAAGGGAAAAAAAATAATCTGGGGACTTCATCAATTTTTCATGAATTTTCATTTAGGCCAAAGCCCCCTGTAACAGTGGTCGATAGATCAAGCTGCTGTCACATATTTAACACCTGGAGCTACAGCTGCTCTCCCTGGGGGCTGCGGCTGACTCCGGCTGGATCAGAGGCACTCCCAGCCAGCGTGGGGACCCCACGCTCCTTGCCCTGCTCACATTGGTGCCCCGGTGCTCCCAGCTGAAATCCCAGCCACGCTCACTCCTGCAAATGTGCTTCCTGATATTCCCAATGGAAAACTCCACCTCGGAGCTTCGATCGTCTCGACCGGTCCCTGCGAGGAAAGCGTGCTTTTATTTTATGACTTCTGGTGTTAGAACACGAAAGCAGTTTGGTGAGAGATCAAACTACTTCAAGCCTACTTCCCTTTCTAAATTCTCCCAAGAAAATCTGAACACCAACAAACATCTAATAACGCCAACCCTTGTTCAAGTGCAATTAAATAATTCTAATGGACAAAAATCAAAAGAAAGATCTTTTACTACTTTGAATACAATTCTTCATAGAGTTTTAAGACTAGGTCATCTGCTTTTAATGATTTAACCATAAAAACACTACATGAGAATTTGCCACGTGCTATTTAGAAGACTTGTTTGACTGGTAGCATTAGCATTATTTTTTCCTTCTGAGGAAGTGCCTACTGAAGAATTAATCTGCATGAAACACACCATTAATTAATGCATTAAAACAATTAAATAGAGTAAGCCATATCAACCTTAAACTGTGCCTTCAAATAGTAACTTTGTCTTCTGGAATGAAGACATTCTAAATTAAAGGCAAAAATATTCTAAAAGTACATTCAGTTATATGAATGCTATTTTTTTTTTAAGTAACTTTCCAAATCAGAATTCTTCACAGTTTTACTGGCATGGATGAATTTTTCTGACAAATTATACATCAATATAAAAATACCTGCCCTGGACTATATGCATGTGCTCTGAAGAGGCATGGATTTAGAAGCACATCTTACATGCTTTAGAGGGGCTGATACCTAAATCCATCATGTTTGGGAAAGATGTAAACTGGTACTCAAAAAGAGCTTAGGGATTTCAGCAACTTGAAAAAAACTCACTCTAAAAAGAAAAAAAAAAAAATAAAAATCAAGGAGCAAAACAATTGTGGGCAAGATGGTTTGAACCACTCTGGGCCCCAGTTGAATTTAACTTCTGTCTTTACACACAAATATGGGTACATCAGAAGACTTTCAATCCCACTGCTTTTGTGGCAGGTGGCCATGGAGGGGGCAAAAAATAAAAAGAAATAAAAGGAAAATGAACCATAATTAACAACGTTTATTATATGAATGTGTAAGCACAAACATATATAACATATATACAAACTCAAATATTTCTTCATAAATCACTCAAAAGTTGCAAGAACACATTATTAGCAACTGCCAATTTAATAAGCAAAGTAAAACAGTTACAAGTTTCCTACTCTAAAACAGCACACTCAAGCATTTTAAACCTGTGAAAACCAGCAGAGAGTTTGCCCCTCATGGCACTGTTTGAGGCCACCTACAGTCAGATAACAATCCAGAGCCCTGCTGTCAGCAAAGGAAAACTGTCCTTTTTTTTTCTGGTGATGAAAACAGCTTGGCTTGGTGTGGAAAGAAGAGTTTTCAACACCATGACAGAGAGCACGAGTCAGACTGGATCATGTACAGCCCCACGGACAGGGCTCCAGCATCCAGGCAACTCAACAGTTTTCCAGCAGGAGTTGAGGACAGGTGAATGGGCACTCACTGCTGACAACAGCCTGTCACCAGCAATTCATTTCCCAAGTGTGTAAACAGGCTCCTACAGACCTGCCCATCTTCTTCAGCCCAGAAATGCTGACAGTAGAAAAACAAGTAAGAGACTCCAACTGTTCCCTGAAAGCCACTTGAAAACCTAATTTACAATCAAAAATTATCTCAAACCCAAGCAAAACCTGTAGTTTTACTATCATCTTCCAAAGGATGCCTTTGATACACACCAAGCACTGGCATGTGCTTGGTGCATTTTTAAAAAACACAGCAGAATTTCTAAAATTAAGTAAACAAGCAACATATGCATTATTTACATTTTTCTTCTTTGATGAAGACCCTTCTGTAATTGCAGCCACGGTACTGCTCAAGGAAAGATTGAAGTGTTTCACTTGCTTAGACTACTAAAATCTTTGATTGGGGGATTCAGGCAGTTAAACTTCAAAGCTATGAAAACAGTAAAAGCACAATGTTATCACAAAACTCTGGCCATGGTTTCAGATCTCAGTTTCACATTCACATTGCTCCTGCCCTAAAGTACCTGTCAAAGGAGAACAGCTTTATTATTTTTAAAGCTTTCTACTGTCTCCCATACGAGTCATGCCTCATCTGCGACCAGCTACAAGTGGTAAAACAAACTCCAGAGACTGGAGATGGTGTAACAAGAGTCTCACAGTAGTCAGTGAAGTAGGGATCAGTGAAAACTGACAAGATACAGAGCACACGTAAATTTCAAAATAATCAGTCACTTCAATTTGATGACTCAAGGTACAACTGGAATAATCCTTCCAACTTCAACAGGAGATCCCAAATCTCGACAGGATAAAATACTTCAAGTACTTAGGTCACTCTCTTAGGATTTCTCAACAGTTAAAACACACTGTACAAAAACACAAATAATCCAGTAAATTTACCTCTTAATACTCATCCAGATTTCAGCCTTCCTTAAACTGGTTTCTCCTCAATTCCCAAATAACAATCAAAACTGAATCTGTGATTTATTTACTGGCACATTTACTTATGCTTTCATAGTATGCCAAAACTGTTTTCATTTTTTGTTTGACACAGTTTTGAATCTAGGTTACAACAGGTTAAATGTAGTGAACAAGTCTGTTCCACTTGGCTTATTCTACCATTTAAACATTTTTTAAAATGGCATTTTCTGCAATTTCTGAGAAACCAGAAGCCTCAAGATCACACCATATTAGCTATGAAAGTCTGAAGACTAAATTAGGAACAAAGATTTCTCTTTTATACTTCCTCCCTTTAAACATACCATCTACTGTGGACTTAAATCCATTCTTTATCAACTAAGGAATATAAATTTGTTCTAAAGCCCTACTTCAAACACATTTTAGGAAAACCACTGTCAGATGAAGAGCTATGGGTGAAAATCTCAAGCCCAACAAGAAGAGAACACTCACAAATCTATTAAAATACAATTATATGCAAAGATGCACATTCTGAATAAAAAGATCAGTGTTGATTCAACCCATATAACTAAGCAGCAAAAAACCCATGTGCCACTAGTTATATTTTATGCCTGATGAGCTTGTTTTCTGTGAATATAATGAATGTATCTGCTAACTCTACAGAAAGCAGACTACTCATGCCAGGTGGGCTCTGAAAGAGCCCTGTTGACTTCTCTGTTAAGACAAAGAGAATCGATAGAGACCAAGACTGTTCTGGATGATATGAGAAATGGCCAACAATTTCACTTGCCACTCACATAATGAATGAGGCCTGGGTCAAGTTTATGATCGAGGAGCATATATTGAGGTTTCCAGCAGTACAGAGCATGAGTCACCAAGATGCTGTCTGCTTCTGTTGAGGTAACAGATGATGAGATAAAGAGAAACAGACAGTGCACCTTAGATTAAATGATAGGTATTTTTCCACATTAGTTCCAGTATAACCAACTCTAGACATCATTTAAAAATTAAATTATTCTTCAGAGGAAGATTATCCTTTGTCCATGTTTGTGCCAATCATGATTATACTCTGGCTAGAACCTCATTTCAGCATAAATCACTTATTCTGTATGGTCACTGCTACTGAACAAACACATGTGAAAATGCCTCAACTAAGAGCAGCAGCTAATGACAAAATGCAGTACTTATCCCCATTTGTCATCTCCCAGGATGCTGGCTGTGTGCAAGTGCTGGGCGACAGCATAAATGCCACTAGGAAGTTTTACAGAACACTAAACAAACAGAACTACTCACATGCCACTTCCAGAGATGCATTGCGACTCACAGCTTCTCCAAGGTAGTTCCTTGCTACACAAACGTAGCTGCCCTCGTCGGGTTTACTCCTGCGCCCGTGCACGATGCGTAAGAAAAATAAAGATCCGCTGGGCAGCAGCATCCGGTGGGAGCGCGGGTCATCCTTGTCCGTCTCCACCCGCTCACCATCCTTGTACCACTCGATGGTGGGGGTCGGCCTTCCCTCTGCCTTGCAGTTCAGAGTAGTTGGCTCTCCTTTGGACACTATCACATCTGAAGGATGCTCAACAATCCGTGGTGGAAAGTCCTCTTGGCGGAGACGGGATCCTAAAGGAAAGAACAGTGGGAAGAGAACAATTTATTTGTGTTTTAGGCATCACAAAGAGCTCTTGCAAATTACTCCTTTAACATTACAAAAACTTTTCAGAAAGACCAAAAAAAACTCCATACAGCATGTTTGTCTGATATCAGAGACTGTATCAGGCGCTCCCCTTCCTAAAAACCTGAGATGGACTAACAGAGATAACTCTCTGCAGTATTATCAAACCCATACCAGATGTGGACTGTGCTTAGAGGAAGATCTCTTACACACACATGTATGGCAATTTTTTATTTTAATATAATCTCCCTATTTACAGTCACTTCTAGATCACTATGTGCTTCCAGATTCCCTTCATAGCTACTGCTTTTTCATCCTTTCATCTTCCAGATTCAATACGAGGATATCCAAAAATCATGCTATCTTATCACCCCCATTAGTTAACAGCTCTTGGCAATTTAACACATGCATTTGGAATTTCTTTTCCACAAACAGTCCCGGTATGGAAAGAGAAGGAGAAAAAAGAAAGCTAAAAGGGAAATCTCAAATGTCAGCTCACTTCAGAAATTTTCAGTTTCATGATTGCATGTATACATACACACAATTCAATATAGGCAGAGAATCATAGAATGGCCTGGGAATGGGTTGGAAGGGACTTTAAAGCTCATCTCATTCCAACTCCCTGCCATGGGCAGGGACACCTTCCACTACACCAAATTGCTCAGAGCCCCATCCAATCTGGCCTCTAACACTTCCTTCCAAAGTAATAGTACAGACACTCTCCATTCCTGCACATCTAATTAGACTACGTGACCTCGGAAAAAATATTTCTGCAACAGTCACAGCAGTTTCTGCCTTTCTATCGGGTCTCAAAAATAGTCTTTTCTAGCACGGATCCTGAAAATCCTTTGAGAAGAGCTGCCACGCTGCAGCAACTGGTCTGCATTTCTTAAACACAAGGTACATCAGCTTCTGCAGGTTAGGGAAACATTTGTCTCAATTTTCTGATCAGCAGTTTTGCTGAGTCGTAGAAAAGCAATTTAACATCAATTTCTTAATTATATTCTAGGCACTACATACTTTAAAATATTTTCAATGCCTCATTTACTGCAAAAGTTATGAGAAAAGGCATAAGGATCCATTCAACAGAGTGAATCCACCTTTGGACTTCTGTTTTACTAACACTCAGGTCATTAAACTAAGGCTTGCCTCTGCAGTTAAGTGTTACATTGCTGTTGCACAAATTGGCTCTTTCAGTGGCTTCCAAATTCTATTACCAGAACAGCAAAGAAATCCATAATCTGCAATGCCTGTACATGAAAAAACCCTGTAATCTATAGCTAAGCACAGGTAAATTTATGGGATATTTTGAAAAGATAGATTTTATTCTCACCTCTACAGACAAAAAAAAATCTAATAGGAGAATCTCCAGCTAAAAATAACCCTAGTCCATGACCCCATACACAGCATCAAAAAAGACTGAAATCACCATTAACGTAAAAGATAAACATCTACAGCACGTGGGACTAAAAAGCCAACTTCATACTCTGATTAGAAACATTTATAATACTCCAGACACAAGTCTACTAACCAAATTCATTGCTTATTCTCAAAAAGCAAACAAAACCTTGCTAGTTGTGTTTAGAAATTTCTATTAACAGTATCAGGAAGAAAAGGAAAGCTGAGGTTTCTGCAACACGAGAGGGACTAAAGGCAGAGAACAGATACAACTGAGTTTTGATAAATGGTTAACACAGGGTAACAAAATTAGTAGCAAGAAATGCAAAATGCAAATCCAAAATATTAGTTTTCCTGTACACAAAGGTTTGTTGACAGTGTTCAGAACTCCCAGAAGTATATCCTACACAGACTTACAGGCCATGTTTAAAGATGTGCAAAAAGCTTTCTCCCATAAAAAGTTTACGCTTGCACCTTATACAACCCCATTAAAAACTCCTCCTCAGGTCACAATAGGGCTGATTCTTCCTCTTCAGTACTAATGTTGATCACAAAACTAATGCTTACTCCACTCTATCCTAATTAAGCAATTTGTGCCCTACAGAGAGTTGAGATGTGAGCAGCAGGGACCACGCCACTGTGCGAGGAGAAAGGCTCAGGAGGGTTTTCAAGGGGGGATTAGATCACACATTCCTGTGATGGCTGGGTGCACCTTCAGCTATCCAGGTACAAGGAATTCCCCTCATCATGCATCTAGAGGAGGGGGAAGCAAAACACACAAAACATCATCCACAGACCACTCCAAACTCCCTCCTTCCAAAGTGAACTGAGCACCAACAGGCATTCCCAAAGGTTATGCTGATTTAGAAATAACAAAGGAAAGCAGAAACTTGGCTCCACTGCCTGTCTCCAGACACTATGCATATCAGAAAGGGGCAGATGCAAGTGGTGTTTAATTGTAGTTTTGATTCTCTCACTGTGGTCCCCTCCAGTTCCCTTACGAATACCACCTCATTCAGAAGGAACAGAAATTCTGCTAACCCCATGTACTGTCTGGGCAGAAGATACTTTTACTGCAGAGCAAGATGCAACCATGATCTTAAACAGGTAGCTGTGGTGTATGCCGGGCTACCCATACAGCTTCCTTTTCCATTCCTCACCCCAGGATTTCCATCTGGTGCATACACAGAGCGTATGAGCAACCCCTCCGTTTAGGAGCCCTTAAGTCTTTACTAGGATAGACTGCAATGATTTCATTTAAGCTTTTACATGCTAGTGGGCAAAGCCAAAATTTCTACAATATTAGAACTGTTGGAGCTATTCCACGGTGCCTCATCATCCTCACAGTCAAGAATTTCTTCCTAATACCTAATCTAAACCTATTTCCAGTTTAAATTAGACTCCCTTATCATGTCACTTCAGGTCCTTCTAAAATATCTCTCTCCATCTTTCCTGTGGGTTCCCTTCAGGTACTGAAAGGCCACAGTTAGGTCACCTCAACACCTTCTCTTCCCCAGGCAGAACAATCCCAGTTCTCTCAGCAGAGCTGCTCCATCCCTCTGATGCCCTCGGTGCCTGCTCTGGGCTGGCTCCAGCAGGTCCCTGTCCTTGCTGTGCTGGAGCCCAGAGCTGGATGCAGCCCTGCAGGTGGGGTCTGAGCAGAGTGGGGCAGAGGGGCAGAATCCCCTCCCTGCCCTGCTGCCCACGGGGCTCTGGATGCAGCCCAGCACATGTTTGGTTTTCCAGGCTGCCAGCGCTCACGGGCAGCTCACATCCAGCTTAATGGTGTGCTGTGGCATGTTTGTGTGATTGAATTAATCTTCACTTGAGACTGAACATCGAATTATCAACTTACATTGCCTAAGATACTGCAATACAATGTTTTGTCACTCTAACAAACACAGCTTTCATTTTCAGATACCAGAGCCTGCTAACTACTAATTGCTGACCTGATAAATGCTGACTGACGGGAAATACTGCAGTTCTCATAATAACTGGTGACATTATAGATTTGTTATAAACTGTCACTTCATAAGTAAAGAACATTTACATTCACAGCTACCTTTTTTTTAATAATTTCTTCAGCAGTCATTGCTAATGTCCTTGGAAGACAGGACACTGAATAGGGGAACTCCAGTCTCAGTGGAAACAAGCAAGAAGAGACTGCTAGGGGACACATTTTGTCACAAAAAAGCAGAAGGCAGCTCCAGTTATTTATGTGCTGTCCCTGTCCAGCAAATGTATTGAAATATATTCATCAACTCTTCTTACACTCTTCTTCCTGTCTTATGAATTTACGTACTTATATATTCCTAATCAAAGCAGGGAAACAAAGTAAGAAAAGTTACAAACGTTGCAAAACATTCTGCTCTTCTACTCCCCTAGTTTAACTTAATTCAGATGTGTTGGACAAGACATTCCCTGAGAATCACCTCTAAGACTGCTCCTTTGGGAGGTAATTAATTCATTTTGACCACTTCAACATCAGAGTGCCAACTAAGTCAGGGTGTCTTCCTCAACTACCACCGGGCCTCACAGATTTGTTTTTCCATGCTCAGACTTCCTCACAATGTACAGTATAGTTACAGCAACACTGATAGCATATCAGCAGAAGGCCTATTATTTTCATTTTTGCCTGGCTGATCCTACAGTCAAATAACCTTAAAAAATTAATTAGATGCAAGAATTTTTATTAATAAATGAAGTTGATTTGCTGTAGACACACAGATGCAAGCAGGGAAGGAGACTAAAGCAAAGAGTCAATACTCTATTCTTTTTTACTGCATTTCCTCAGAGTCACTATGCAATCCGTATCCTAAGAGGAATCACAGAATGGCCTGGGTCCCTAAATCATCTTAATTCCAAACCCCCTGACATGACTCGACTAGGTTGCTCAGAGCTCTGTCCAACCTTCCGGGGATGGGGCATCCACAACTTCTTCTGGGTAACCTGTTCCACTGCCTCACCACCTTCACAGTTAAGAATTTCTTCCTAATATCTAATCCAAACCCACTCTCTGTCAGTTTGAAGCTATTCCCCCTTGTCCTGTCACTCCATGCTCCTGTAAAAAGCCTCTCCATCTTTCTTGCAGGCTCCCTTCAGGTGGGAAGGCCTGGAAGGCTTTAATTAGGTCATGTGCTCTCTCTGTAACATACACAAATCATCACAGAAAAAGGCATTTGGAAACCCACTTTCTAGTCCTCCTAGTCCATTATCTTTCAAATTTCTAGGAAGAGACTGTCATTTATTGTATTTCACATTCCTCCAGTTTTCATTTACTTCACATAAAGATCAAATGTTGATTTAATCTATTAAGCTTATTCTCTAAATAACCAGCTACAAAGCTAATGGTCAGACATACCAGAAAAGAAATGGTACAAACTAAATTTCACTCATTTCTCAAATCAACAAAACATTCGTAGCTACTGGGTCAGTGGTGGGTAAGAGACAGACTGGAAATTGTACTGTAACCACTGAACAAATGTAAAGAAAAAGCAATACTGTGTTAGTTTATGTGTTAACACTCTGAGATGGTATTTCATAATACAGA